AGCTGCTTCTCCAAAATTAATTTTTGGATCCTGAAGACGTTTCTGTTTCTGCACTCGATTGGTAGATGATAAAAGATTTCACCAAAAAATTGCAAAAGTACAAGAAAATCAAATGTAAGCATACATTGCAGAATATTATGAGCACCACATTTTGTTTCAGCCATGTTGCCATTCTCACTTAATTACTGTAACAGTCCTAGCAATTCATCCAGTTTTTCATGTACAACTTTTACTGCCTTTTCTCTTGCACTCCACTGTGTTTCTGATTCACACTTGACAGAGATCTTAAGCTCCTGCTGCAGTTTATCCCATCGAGTTGTTGAATGAGCAAAGAAATTATAAATGGCTTCAATTATACCAAAAAAGGCAATAACTGTTGTTTCCTGACTTGCAGCATGAAGACATGCTAAGTTCAAACTATAGTTGTCACAGTTTATAAACATTGCTTTTGGATTTTTTTTCAGAATTCTTTGTTGAACGCCTGACAGATGACATGACAGCAGCATTATCATTATCTTTACAATATGTGTCACATACGTCGTAACTTTTCTTAAGTACATAGGGTATGATAGACATAAATGATATTAAGTTCTTGTTGTGATGGATTAAGGATTAAATTTGTGTTCAGAACAGATTAAAAAACAGCAGTTTGTTGTATTTTTACTGTCTTGAATACATTTACTGTAAAAAAAAGTATTAGAATCTAGTTTACATGTGGGTTATACTTACCACAAAGGACCGACTTATTGGAATGGGTGACTGATGTTCCCTAACAATTATCTGCTACCAAAAATATCGTGTTCTGTAAACTTTGAAGCTGAAAGTATTGATTATGTAAGTCACTGGTTGCATTTGTTCTTTTCTTACTGAACATGTTTATATACTTGAAGCCATAAAATCAGTAAATCCCACTGAGTATAGAGTGGATTTTATTATTTCAATTGAATTAATTTTAATATATAAAAACAAAAATTGTTTGACACTTTGTTATCAAACCAACTTTATTACTTTTATTTCAACTCTATGAAAATGGTTATGATGCAATATCCCCCAACAAAGCCTAAAGAGGTTAAAATTTCATTGTACAGATCTCTGGTTAGGCCTCATTTAGAGTACTGTTATCAGTTTTAGGCTCCTTGGCTAAAGAAGGACATTGCATTGCTTGAAAGGGTTCAAAGGAAGGTTACTAGGAAGATGTATGAGATGGAAAGATTGTTGTATGAAGACAGGTTAAGATGTTTGAAATGGATATCTCTTGAAATAAGAGTTAGAGAGAATGTGAAAAAGGTGTTAGAGGTTGTTAAGGAATTTGACAGTGTTGATGTATCTTCTTTTTTTGTATAAAACAAGGGGTCACAAATTTAAATTTTGACAGTGTAGGAGTCATCTTCAGCTAATAATAGGGTAGTTGACTTTTGGTATGGGTTATTTTCTGATGTGGTGATTAAGGGAAGGCTTGGTAAATATTTAAATGGTAACAGCTAGCTTTGAGTTCTTATTTTTTTTTCTAACATTTAGTTTTGGATATGTCAACCTCAATGGACCAATAGACCCCTTTTTGTCCTTAATTGTTATATAAAACTTTGTAAAATTTGGTATCTGAGGCCACTGCAGAATAAAATATTTAACTAGCTTGATTTAATATTTTGAAATCAGATTAACACATTTACATATATTGAAACAAAAACATAACTATAAAAGTTCCATATAATGTTTAAAACAAATCATATATATGTATTTTGGTATAGGTAAATATCAACACAAACATTCATACATCTATAGTTTTGTCACTCATTTAAATAAGTTGTAAACATCCATATTTTTTTCCATATCCACACCTCCAAGTACAACTGGAAATAAAGAAAAAAAAAATCAGTAGAAAAATTCAAGTCCAGCAGGCAATTACTACTATTACACTAAGAAAATATTTGCTGTATACATATACAATAACCATCTTATCCTCCTTTTGGCATATTTTGTTAGCAAGGGTAGTAGCAACAGAGCCATATCATGATATCCCACATTTAATACTGATGCATGTACTTCATTTTCTTCTAAACATGGATAACTGTTTGCTGCCTTGTACAAAAAAGCAAAAAGAGAGAGGTCTACAATGTCTAAGCTAAAGGATTGAATATATATGTAGCTTTGTTAAAGTAAAACATTACTAAAGTAAGCATATTATAAAAAATTCTCTCACTATACCAGATCCTATAAAATTGGACCCAGTTCTCAATTTTTAATTAATAATTGTACAAAATAATAATTATTAACCCTCAGATTACCAACTTGTTTTTGTACTATGCAGTCCACATATTGCATGATATTGAGTATCTTTATATTTTTGCCTGTTACAACACTTGGTGTAAAGAATTAACCAAACCAAATTGGTTGAAATCACTCACTTTATATGTATGTCAGACAGAAAAACCCAGCAATAATTAGTGGGATTAATTACAATATTGATTTTATATTACTTATGTTATTAGACATAGTCATGGATTTACGAATAATTTAATGAATATTTAAAATACTAAAAAAGCTAATGGTGTTCACATGGACCTCAGTGGTAATTCTAGGGTTAAGTTGCATGCAGAGACTGATCAAGGGCTTCCAAAATTAACCCTAGTTTGTTAATATGCTTTAATGTTATAAATTAATTGTAGCCAATATTACAATGGTACATTCTGGTATATTTTGGTCACCTAGAACAGAATCCAATTTTCACCAATAATAGCTTATAGCCTGTTGTAGTGCTAAACTTATCCCATCTCTGTAATATTACTGAAAACAACCATCCACTAGTTCAATGCACTTACAAACATTACATCATGAAAATATATGTGTTATCCATTAAAAAGCTTAAAGGGTGTTAAAATGACTTGACAATTTTATACAATCTACCAGCACTAAAAAAATTTTGGCACTCCATTTACTGGTTTAGTCAGACTTTTACAGTTCTACTCTTCATGTTGTGTCTAAAATTGAATGAGTAATATTTGTGATTTGAATACTAAAAGTGAATATGCATTTAAAAACAAATTACAATGGCTAAATCTTCTTAACATTCATATTTCAAAAAGTTCATTTGTGAAATATTAATTTTTTGTGGTATATTATTTTAACCACTTACTTTAAATCAGCTTTCTAGAAATTCTAATAATGCATTTGTTTTACAAAATCTAAATTAAATATTTTTATTTTTTGTAAACTACATCCTAACTAGCAACAAAAACAAATCTTACCATCTGATCGTTGGATGTTAAAATTCATTCCAATTCTCACTACCCTCTGCTCTCCATCCATTGTAAAATATGTTTCTTTCAACCCACCAAGTCAAAGGATAGGGTTTGTCTTGTTAAATCTGTAACTTAAAAGTCACGAAGTGTTGAAATTAATAATAATGATTAAAAAATGTACAAGTAAAATAATGCTTGAATGAATTAATTACAAATGTGACGTATTTGGTATTATTTGAAAAATATATGTTAATATGCTGTAATTTTATTTTAAAATATAGTTACACCCAAAAAGAAAAGGCAAGTATGAATAACGTGTTAGAACAAAATATCCTTTTATCAATGTGCGATATTTCGTTGAAATTGCACACCTCCTTCCCGTCTCAACCGCAAATCTGACTCTCTCAGAAGGAGAGCTTAAAACGCTAAAAATCTGGCTTCGCTACTCGCGCCTAGCGTCGGGCACAGCACAAATGAAACAGCTGATTGTGTAGCTTTGCGCTTAACAACAAATAAATCGTCAAAATTCATTACCTAAATTCAAATTGCTACCCAATTCCCAGTCCTCCATTCTTCCACGCTACCATAGATGGCTTGGAAGCTGTCTAGTTTTATAGTCAACTAGACCACCGTGACCCGCTGGGTCAACCACTATTTTGAGGTTATGAAGAATTCAAGCTAATTTCAATATTGCATCGAAATGAAGGTTTATTTTGAGATAATTTAATTAAATATTTCAATCCATTCGTGTTATTCATAATTCAAGAAAAGATATTTGATTGTTGATCGGGAGTAAAAGGAAAGACCATTTCATTTTTCAAAAAAGTGGAGTAAGAAGTTGCGTAAAGAGCGCGAACGGTAGTGTGAATGATTTTTTGACTGAGAAAATAAGTAAACAAACAATCTCATAGTTTTAGTAGTATATAGATAGATTCTCTAAGATCTTGTTTTTGTCATCTTACGCCTTTTAATGAAGATGGGAACATTGACAGGGAAATAATATAATAGCCAATGCTCGGCGAGAGGTTTTCCTTTATAAAATTTTGTTGTTGTTCTCAACTGGATTTCTATTTTATTACCTCGTCTCCATAGTTACTATTTGCAAATAGTCAATAATATTGTAGGTCCATTTTATTGTTGTTCTTTCTATGCGCCCTTATAACACATTTTCATCTCATCATTTAATTTCTGTTGTGCATATATTGTTGTATAGGAGATATTTTAAAGTTATTCATCAGGTGGAAAACGAAGTTTTATAATAATGGAATGTACAAAAATTGACCCCAAAAAACGGCGCTAACTCGGTAACGAAACTTGTTTTATTCTGTTTCTATTCTCATTTCATTACAAATATGGCGCTATTGTGCACCGTTTTTGCTGTATTTAATTACAGACAAGCACACACACAAACAAACAATCTCAGAGTTCTAGTAGTATATATATATATATATATATAGATAGATAGTAGTTATACTATAGAAGTATCGTGAATTAATCTATTTATCTAAGTTCCATCTAGGTTAAAGTAGACTAACACAATCTTTTTCTTTCAATTATAAGTATTAAATGGTGCTACAATACACAGAATAATAATTACTACATTTTTCATGCGATGTATATATATATATACACACATATCTATTTGTTACAGATGCTAAGTTATTGGTACAGCTAGCACCCCAAACAACCTTTAGTAACAAGTCTTCTTAATGTTAATATTCTAGCCACAAGGTGGCAGAAAAATACAATTCTTTTTTGAGTAACGACGGTAAATGTTTTTACTCATAGCAACACAGTAGGACGATAAATCTAATACAAAAACTTTAAATAGTGTATTGTATCAAAAATAATACCCTATGTCCTTAGCTCCAGTAGTTTTTCTCTAAAACGAGGTAATATAAAAATTAAATATAATCATATATTAACTTCTAAAAAAATTACATCTGTGAATGATGTGCGCATATTAAAAAACAAAAACTGAACTAGCTATAAAAGACAACAACAACAAATAAACAAACATGATATAATATATGTAAACAAAATATTATAACAGTTTTGGTAATTAGTACTAACCAGTTGAAAACACAAAAACTTCGGTAGTAAAATATTACAATTGTGCTCAGACTGGAGATTTTTTTACAATTGTTTAAGCTGTAAGATTGATCTTATTTCTTTTTTTAAATAAATAAATGATTAAACACTACAAAATGTAAATCGAAAAAATAATACTTGCATTTACAAAATGTTTCTTCCCTGGTCTTATGAGACAATAGTCTCATTTTTCTCACTCGTGAATAACCCAGAGCGAAACTTCTACCTTTATCCTATGATGTTATAGTACTTCTGTTTTTAATAAATGGTTTGCTGCTTGACGGAATTTATTTTCATGAACTTTTTTGTAGTGCTCAAGAAGATTATTGTTATTGCGAATTTAAAGAATTAACCGTGAACGTCTTTTTTCTTCTTCTTTATGAGTTACATATATTGTGGGAGATTGTTTTATCACTCAACATTTGAAAATATATGTTCTTCAAAGTATTTCATTTTCTGTTTGAGATAAGATGGATATTGTGTGAAATATTTTCTTATAGTGGAACTTAGGTACATGCGATCATAAACTTTTAACCAGATGTAAATATTGACTATGTAGATTTTGGCGACGAACTGATGAAAAAGGAATGTTTTAAATATGATAAAATGTAAATGATAACTGTGAAATTATTATTGCTGTCATCAAAGAGATTGAAAAGGAACCCATTCCTACCAGAATTCTGCGTTTCATCATTCCAGTATGAGTTGAAGAGCGAAACGCTGAGCTTTCTAGATAGTGAAGTATAATGGCAAACAATCCCTCTCAGAGGTTCAGAGAGGCCATATCTATCTTCTGAGGCCCTCTATAATAATAAAAAAATGATGACACATGAAAACAAAATAAGACAATAATCAGCCCCAAAGAAAAGTGATACATTATTTGAATATTTAATTTGTATATATATAATTTGCAGCTCTAAGCTGAGTGTGTGTCACATTCTGGTCTGATTGGAAGGCACATAAAAACAAGTCACGAAACTTAAAAAATGTAAAAAAATAACAAGTGTCTAAATTTGAGGGCCCCTTTGAGCTTGAGGCCCAGACCAAATGGCCCTTCCCCTCTCATTGGCCCTAGTGGCAGAATAAATTATGCTGAATGCCACAGAAATAAAAGGAATTTACATAAAAAAACGGATGTTAAGATGATGAACGATTAAAGTCTCTTGAGGCAAAACATCAAATTTAACGTAAATAATCGTATGTCTGTATGAATAGCTTACAAAAAAAAAAACTAGTTCATTGAACACTATGAGAGATGATATTATTCTACAGGATAATATTTTAGTGAATAATTTAACTATAAAAATGAAGAAGGTGAAAAACAATAATAAAAAAACAAGTTATTTTTAGTGTAAGTGTGGTAACATAAGATTCATAACTATAGCATGTTATCATTCATCTTACAGCTGTTAAAGTTATTTACTTCCCATTAGACCATTCTAGTCCTTTCTAAACAAAACCAATTTTAAAGAAGTGTATTTTACTATTCTCACAAAGCATAAACACCAGTACTAAAGGAATTTCAACTCAAAGAGGGAGTGTATAAAATCCTTCATACACATTCCGTATTGTTTTAAGTATTTCAAAAAGGGTTTGACAGAATTATCGGACAATACATTGTGTTTAACATGCACAACGATGTGAGCATTCCAGTATAAGAAAGAAGAGATTAAAGATAAAATATATCACATCTTTGAACAACAGCTTTCTTTAAGAACCTGATAATATAGATAAGTTAGACTTTTCTGGGCTATTTTGGGTGTGCGACTATATATTCCATACAGTCTGTATCATCAGTTCTTAGCATCTTTTTTTTAAAGATTCACATGTAGTTTATGAATTTTGAAACCTACGCAAAGCTTAATTTCGAAGTAATTTTGTTGCCGTGAACGGGTTTCTTCATCTGAGGTATGTAGTAGTAATGCTTTATTTTGGGGTGTCTCATAGATTAGATCTCATTTTTTTGCATGTTCATATTATTTTTAAACATTTCCTATCATATAACTCTCATCACTTCCTGAGGAACGTGAGAAATGTTCTTTTTTACTTTTAATATTTTATGTGGTTTGTTCTAAATGTAAGATTATAGCTCCTTCTCACTTGTTGTAACCAAAGCTTGATATGTGCCTGTTAAAATGTACTTAGTTTAAAGTATGTACAGCTACTAAAATGTTAAAAGCCAGATTTGTGTGATATCGTTTAATAGCAAAGATTATTGGTTGGGGGTGAAATTCCCTGCTTAGAGGAGGATCTAAGCTAAATTCAGAAATTATACTAAGATGTTTGTTTTGGTTCTCTGGCAGAAGACATATTTTTCTATAACAAACACGATTATGATTTGGACAATGTTGTAGTTTGGAAACTCCATTAATTTTGGGTGAGGTGCAAAATGTTTTGCTTTAGCTCATAGTTTATATTTCAGTTTCTAGCAAGCATTGCCATCTAGTAGCAAGCGTCCTTACTGGTGCTGACTTTTAGTGTTGGTGATCTGATTTTTATACATGCTTCTTCGCAATTGAGGGTGAACGTACTGTGTGCTAGGTTAGTGTCATATTTAACGCCGCTGATGTAAACTGTTGGCATCCTTGGACGACTTTCCTGTCAGGAGTAAAAGTGTGATTTAATACTTTAAATAGAATGTCTTTGTCATTTCCAATCGACATCTTCATTGCATTGACATTGGTTTGTCTGCACCTGTTAGTTAACATAAGTAAGACACATAAAAAGTGACCCAGTATGGCGGGGTAGTTTCTATGCTATTACTTGAAATTAAGAAATTATTTGTTGTGTCTACTTTATATACATATAACAACAGTAATTGTGTCCAACGATGTTTAATCTTTCTGTACTTAATTTGAACAATCTGTAACCAATTGAGTTGTGTTTTTGTGCTAATTTATGTGAGTATTCGGGTTTTGTTTTGTGGGTAGGTGACTTGGACAGAATAATCCTTGGATGTGGGAGAGTAACAATTATAGACTTGATGACTGGTACTTTTTTGTCTCGAGTTATTGACTGCTGTCAGGACAGAGAGTTATTTGAGTTTAGATGATAGGAAGAAAGATAGTTCGAGGTTA